GAATGAAAGCTTGAAAATGTTTTATACCTATCAAAAATGTAAGAGATCTTTAGTTCGGAGACAATGAGTGAAATAGTTGATTTTGTACCTTTGTCATTGTTGAGCTTGTATGCGCATGTATACTTGGGCAGTGCTTGCCACTTATGCACAGTCATTTGACTAGCTTTATCGACTAACTGTTTAAATAATTCGATGGCAATATCGACTATATATATTTGTATCAATCAATTATTATATACTTTGAATAATAAAGAAATTGTGGCAACGGCTCGCGTTCTGTAGGAACAGTCGTCAGGACGGAGATATACGGAATTTAGAAGATACAGAAAGTCCGAGCTCGACGAAAGAACGTAATACAGTTTCCTACGATTCAAAGGAAATACGTCTCCGTCTCCATTCGATTCATTACTGTGGATCATAATTACTATTGCATATTATTATTATCGTTACACATTGATTAGTTCATAAACACTGTTGAACATATTTTGACATTCTTAATAATTACAAGTAACGAATTATACACAAAATTGTTTCACTGCTGCGGTATAGTAAGTTTGTTCTGTGGTATAACATTTTATTATTTCTTATTGGCATTATGCATACATTGATTTATTTGTGTACTACTCATTGTATATAAATTTCTTCAGATAACGATAAACAACTTTGGTTTATTCCGCTTGAAAATTACTTTTTAGTTAACCGTATTAGTTTACAACGAGATAAATTTGACCATGTATGCGCACTGCTTCCGGATGAAATAACTGACAATGTATGTGATGTTCAAGCTAAACCGGATGCAGAAAATTCATATGGCGTACTAAAACAGACTGTGATAAAAGCCATCTCATTAACCGACCGATAAGCCCTTGATCGACTTCTCAACCAAGTGGAACTAGGCGATATGACTCCTCTGCAGCTAAAGAACTATACGGAAAGTTTAATCGGAAACAGGACAGTAGATAGCAGTATATTTTATCAGTTGTGGCTTCGGCGACTCCATCAGAATGTTCAGAAGATCCTTGCATTTGGTGATAGAGATGTAGACATAGATCACATCACTGAAATAGCCGATAGGATTTATGAAACAACAAAAATACCGAGTCCACAGATGCATCATATTTCGGTATATTATGAAATCAAGGAGTTAAAAAAGACTAGCAATTTATCCCAAAAGCTTTTCAGGCTAAAAGGCCGAAAAGACAATCACGAAGTGGGTCGCACGAAAGGTATCGATCACACTCAAAGAGACGCTCAGCTTCTACGATATAGTGGTATCAGCAGATTCAAATTAGCACAACAGGGGAACGGTTCCGCCGGTAACAAGTGTGACAGCTGGTGTGGCTCCTAAAAACTCGTCTATTCGACGTCCAGTACCGAACGACGGGTGTCCAATCCTTAGTCAACACAGGAGCGGAAATGAGCGTCGTGCCTCCCGTCAGCGATGAAAGACGAAATGCCAATACCTTGCTAACGCTCAAAGTAGCGAATAAATCCGACATAAAAACATAGGTAAAGCGAAAGTTAACCTTGAATTTTAATCGAAACATTTAACTTCGCTGGGACCTTTTCATAGTGGGTGTATCAATGCCTATAATTGGTAATAAATTCTTGCAGAATTTCGACTTACTAGTAGATTTTTGACGAAACCAACTCTTGAACACAGACCATACAGCGGTGATAAGAGGAGTTATCACTGACCAGATGTCTATGAATTTAGTAGTGTCAAGAGACAAAAACGATCCATATAAATCGCTTCTAAACGAATACGCTGACCTGACGGTGTCATACGATATCAATGATCTCAAACATACAGTGCAACATCACGTTGTAACGCAAGACCACGACGCCTGGACCCGAAAAGTTTAAGCATTGCAAAACAATAATTCGACAAAATGATGGAACTTGATACAATAGGGCCTTCTAGCAGCTCCTGGGCATCTCCGTTGCACATGATACAGGAAAAGAACGGACAGTACAGACCATGTGTAGATTATAGAGCACTTAAAAAACAAACTCCAGCTGACAGATATTCAGTGCCATATAACCACAACATTACTAACGACATGGAAGGTGCCATGATCTTTTCGAAGATTGACCTTGTTAGAGCTTATTACCATATTCCCGAGGATATACCGAAAACGGCTGTAAGCACTCCGTTTGGATTATTTGAATTTTTGCGAATACCCTTCGGATTAACTAACGCAGCTAAAAACCTTCCAGAGATTCATCCACTAGGTCGTTAGAGGTTTGTCAGGCGTAATGTGTACATCCGTGACATACTTGTTGCTAGTGCTATAGCGGAAGAACATCTAAAACAACTATGACAGTTGTTCAGTAAACTAAAAGAACATGGTATCGCCATCAACGTTGAGAAATGTGAATTCGAAAAGAAGTCACCGCAATCTCTAGGACACATAATAAATTTTCAGGGTATCACACCAGTTCAAACAGAAGTTGCAGGCATTCGTGACTATCCGTTGCCCAAATCACAAAAGAAGTTACGACGATTCCAGGGGCTAAACAACTATTATAGACGATTTATTCCAAACTGCACAACAACATTTCAACCGTTGGCAGATGCCTTGCGGGGATGTGCCCGGACATTTTACTGGTCAGCTGACGCTATACAGGCATTGGAAAACGCTAAGCGCGTGCTAAACGAAAAGACAATGTTGGTACGACGAAAAAGCGAAGCTCCATTAGCCATTATGACTGATGCGTCGAACATCGCTGTTAGAGTCGTGTTACAGCAGCTCGTAAATGGCACATGGGAACCAACTTCATTTTTTTCAAAGAGATTAAGTCCCACTCAAACCAGGTATACTACATTCGGAAGAGAACTGCTAGCAATTTACTGTGCAACAAAGCATTTTCGACGTATGCTTGAGGATATCATTTTCACAGTGTACACAGACAAACCTCTCACGAAGGTATTAAACGTCAAGCAGGACAACTAATCACCAGGGAAATTCGACAATTGGAATTTATTTCCCGATTTACGTCTAGAATACAATATATTGAAGGCCATAATGACGAAGTAGCAGATGTATTATCAAGAACGATTATTAACGCTCTCATTCAATCCGCCATTGATTATCACAAACTTGCAGCATTGCGAAATATGAATGTTGAGCTAAGCAGGCTAAGATCATCCAATACAACTTCTTTGGTATTCCGAGAAACTCGACTCCGCGAGGTAAGTAAAATGTGTGATGTCTCTACAGGCCGAACACAACCGTTCATTCCGAAACCGTATAGAAGAAACGTTTTCGAAACTATGCATAATATATCACATCCTGAGATTAAGACCACGACCAGTCTAATCAGCGAGCGTTTTGTATGGCCAAGTATGAACCGGGGTGTTCGTAAATGGACGCAGGCATTTATAAAATGCCAGGAAACTAAAGTTCATCGTCACACTAGTTCCACGGTAGGTACATTCCGCCACCCGGACAGCGGATTCGAGAATACACATATCGATATTGTGGGATCACTGCCAATCTTCAATGGCTTCAGTTATATCTTTGCATGTATCGACAGATTCACGCGATGGTTTGTAACGGTGCCCATAAGAGACATTTCGGCAGAGAATACAGCTAAAACCTTAGTTGAGCATTGGATCTCATATTACGTAGTGGGCGCTAATATTCCAGCCGAAAGAGGAGCTCAGTTTGAAGGTCGCCTCTTCCAACAATTCACAGAACTCCTCGGAATTAAACGTGCTCACACAACATTCTACCGTGCGATGGCGGATGGTATGGTAGAGAGACTACACCGTCAACTTAAAGCCTTCCATACAACTGTTATCAGCAATAATGATTGGGCCAATAAACTTCGATTAGTAATGTTGAGTTTAAGACCGACAGTTAGACAAAATATAGGATATTGTTCTGCAGAGTTGGTTTATGGAACTATACGTCTACCGGGAGTTTTTTTTACCTCAGGTAAAAGTGTTTCAACTGATATAGCCAACTACGTTCGGAATAAGACTTCCGAAGCAAATGAACGGCAGTACCCATGTATTTACCAGAAAGGATAGGTACAAAACTGGAAAAACGAATGTAATTGGCGTTGATCGAAAGTGGCGAACAGCTAATAAGCACAAATCCTTCGAAAACCATCGAATCACCGAAACGCAACTTCCAACCATCAGCAACAACAACGAAGAAAAGTGAAGAATGTGCCCAGTAACGACTAGATATATACAAAGAGTCAGATGGCCGCAAACGTATATGACTACGATTTTCAATTGATAATTTCTTTCGCCATTTCGAATATAGAAATCTTTTTCTTCACTTCATATATACACGTCGAACATTCTCAAATTGTCTATTATTACATTCGATACATTTTGTGTATGCCGATGTTAACATTCTGATCTTCTGTTATTATTATTATCCGACCTCACGAATGTACGTGGACAAGATAACTTTATCTTTTGTAAATTTTGATATTTTCCGAAAATATTTTCCTCGCAAACACGGATACTTTTGTGTATCCTCGTTTGCTGGGAGGGAGCTATTGTAGTATCTCACATTTATTTTGTAATTTTATTATTGTTGAGCTTGTATACGCACGTATGCTTGGGCATTGCTTACCACCTGCATCCATAGTCATCTGACTAGTTTTATCCATTAACTGCTTAAATAATTCGATGGCAATATCGACTATATATTTGTATTAAATCCGATATAAGTAATAGTAGCAACGACAAGTATTCCGTAGTAACGGTCGTCAGGAGGGAGATATACGGAATTGAGAAGACATAGAGATTCCACCGCCACGAGACTACTTATTAAAATACCTGTATTAGTCTTGATATGCACAAGACTGGAGAAGTGTGGACAGTAATGCAATAGCTTCGTTGAATATATAGTAAACCAAACCAACTTCAACACCATCGATAAATCCAACTATCTATCAAAGGCCAAATATACAAGCATTCATCTTTAAAAACATACGTGTCCAGTAGGCACAGGAAGAATAAATAAATTATGTTTAATAACTGAACTTTTTTAACAATCAAATAAAACATAAAATCTCCCTTTTGTGACAAATAATAGTCATACTACTTCACAGGGAGAATAGACATCAAAAGTGTACAAAACATGCATTTAATACTAGTCAGCAGACAAACCGATAACACCACAAGCTAAACGACCGCCAGCATTACCAGTTACTTTGCTTAGTTCATGACCACCACGGCCTAAATCATCTTCATTTTCATGAATCTAAATTGAGAATAAAAATGCTCAGATAAATACCAACGAACTATGAAAATGATGAAAATGTCACACCATTGTGTTGAAGTATTGAATAACACAGAAATGAACAAATAGGCTTAATAATCATTTGTATTCGGTTAACACTACTGTTTATTCGTTTAACATTTGTAGACGAAGGACAGTTACAGGTATTAACAAAAATTAGACTACTTTAGCACTGGGCACAACGAAACCATTGATAGTGTTTCTCATAAGCCTATACATCTTGTGTGCTGTTAGGAGTATTGGGGCGGATGTCACTTCCCGGTTGCCCACACTGTGGAAGCGAATTTCTTGAGGAACATGAAAAAAATGGGTGAGCGTCCTAGAGACCTAAGAGCGTACGTATACCCCACCACTGACTGCATCGACGAGCGATGTTTTGTGGTGTAGGAGTAGGTTGGAAGAAAATCAGGGGGGGGGTCAAACCAAAACATGGTACAAATTCATAAAGTAACTGACAAGTGGACTATGTCATGTTGATAGGTGTAGACTACCTGGTCGGGGTTCGCGAGACGATACTAACCGACGGTTGGAGGCGAAAATCCATGTGGTAAGGTGAAATGTGGTATTTTTAGGGTCGACCATTGCCGACCCTTTCTTTCCTTTGTGAGGAGGCAGCATCGCTGCGGATGCTGGTAGTCCGAGGGAAATACCTTGTTGATGTCACACCCCTCTAAGTTGGCAGTACGACTTCGCCCTCAGTTGCTGCTTTTAGTCTTACCGTTCTCGAATCAAACTTGCCTAGCACGACTGGACCTAAAGGAACAGGTGTTTCAGCTAATATAGCTCGGTTGGGTCATCACGATAGGCACACCCGACCATCACGTCAAGGTGGTGGCTACTGTCGGGAAAACTTATACATAACTGTTTTTGGTTAAATTGGTTGATACTCTTGTGAGGAGCGAATAAAATCTTCACTAGCCATCAGTCCTTGTCACTGTACCGTACCAATCTCAGTATTTTCCTGCTTTTAAGTACCAGTTTTTTGCGGTTAAAACAAGTAGTGACGGGGATAATTTGGAATAGGTCACTCTCAATTGATAAAGTCAAGCCATTGAAACTGCAACAAGTGAAATTTTAAAAATACACAGTTGTGGCTAACTGAAACATCAAGCACCAAATTCCCCTAGCCATACGCGGATGATTCTTCAAACAGATTTAATACAGAGATGAGGCTAGTTGATGTTATCTTTGATCCTGAGACTGATATCACTTAAGGCTTGTTGTGGTATATATCGAGACTTGTTTATAAATGAGTTGGCTGATCTATATAGTGGTATAAGAACATTCGCTAACCTCAAGTTGTGGGATGGTCAACTAAATACATACGAATTGCATTTCGTTAAGATGTCTAGATATAAATTTGTGCCCTTCGGAAAATTTTTAGCAAGCAGTCGTTACTATTCAGTATTAATTAGTCACCTAAATGTATTTAAGAAATCGTATGACGATTTCCTCATAGATACCAACATCTTGAATTGTGTATGTGGATGCTTTAATCTTGGATGGTTGAACCGAGATTAATTTGCGTTAGGTGAACAGAAGTAACTACTACCGATCAAAATTGATATATCAAGATATTTTTAGCGAACCTAGGGCTGCGTGGCAGAATTTGGACTACTTAACCAAAACCATTTTAATGAGTATAAACGATCAAGTCTTAAGATGAATTCCAGTATTCCAAATAAGACAACTTCTTGCACATAACAGTTAACACATACACAACGAGACTTTTCTACAAAGCAATTCGTCTGAACTGAGTTATTTTGACTATTCGAACAGATCAAATTCCTCTTGATGAGTCGAAATTTTGTGATCAACGTCACTAGTTTTTTGAATGTTGATGACGTTTTAAAGTAAAACGGGTTTACCAATGGTATAAATTAACTGAGGCACTGAATATCAGTACTTACAACCATAGTTCGACCAATGACTGAGTGAGGGCCGTTCAAAGATATTAAATTGTCAGTCGCTTCATAGACTGCGTTCCCGTCGGCACCAGCCACAACGTTTCCTAGGTCACCAACATGACGAATACTATCTTCTGGCGCTCCATGTTCTTGTTTAGTTGGATTAAAATGAGCTCCGGCTGAAGTACATCCATTTGTTGTATCACCAAATTCATGAACGTGAAAACCATGTTTTCCAGCCTTCAATCCAGTGAATTCGGCATGAACATGGACGGGTCCATCACCAGTCTAAGAATGTAATAGAAACGTTTGATGGTAGATCTCTCAAAAACGAACTTTGAGCACGAACACCCTATTTTTTATAGGTAGTCATACAATATAAATCTCATTACTACTCTGATTTTGGAACAAGCAGTGCAAAAGATTTAAAGAACTAGCATACGACAAATACTAGAAATTTCAGGTCACATGCTATGCCGTCAGACGTCCACAAATCTTTACAATTAGGATACTATGTGGAGCTCAATGAAAAAAAACAGGGAAATAAGGGTGAACAGAGAAAAAATGTAGGTGAAGTTTCCGAGCGAATCCTAGTGTGAAATTAGGCGACATAGCATCAAATAGTCACTTTCTTTGCTTTTCATGTAGATATCGCGCCCTAATGACGTTTAGGATGCAAACCATCCTGAAATGTATATGAATTCGCGCCAAATTCACAAGACTCCCCTCTATAAACTGATCTTTTATTCAAACGCAATTTAGTGTCCTAAAGAAATTATATACCATGTGAACAAATCAGTGTTGCTAAGCAAAAATTCAGCGCACTGCTACCTTCATCTATCACACAAAAACCACAGTTTTACCCCGAGAATATCGGGATTAACGTAAAAATCACAGGCCTCGAATTGTTACTGCTTAAAAGACTGGTCTTGGTTGAAGTAGCTTGTAGTTAGTGTAAAAACCCAATCTCTCAACTTTGGTTAATTGTGGAAAAACTATTATAGTGAACCTTGAGGAAACTTCGGGCTAAATGCAACCAAAAACCTTAACCTTTTCCCCGGCTTGAGGTTTCCCCCCGAAATTTTCACCGATATTAGGGAAATCCCGTGAAATCGTCGAAAGCCGAGAATTTATCCAAAATTGCAACCAACTGGAGGGAAGATCATTGAACTGCATTGTTGAATACCCAGATGTGCTTATCGTTTTGGAAAGGGCTTCAAAATGATCTCGGTATTTTGAAGTAATTAATCCTATAAACAGACCTATACATGCTAATGCAGCTGATTTTAAAAAACTAATGCTGTTGTTCACCCACTTTTATATACGCATTTATACATAACTTTCATTTGTACAAAAAAACTTATATTTAACTCACTTCTTGGGAGAATTTGACAACGCCCTTCACGCCAGCTGTACCAGACATAACACAAACAGCCTTCATTTTCGTGCGGCTTTGTAACGAGTGAGCTGATCAGTCACGGTCAAATCTGACTGCACCGTGTACGTAACCTTGATTGGCTCAAATTCAATATCCAATATCCAATTTCTTTTTCACGAACTAGTGTAAACCAATTGATTTCTTTGCGCTCGATTCTTGTTCTTTCGGTACGGTTCCAGGTGTTCGGTAATGTCCAATGGATACCAGCAGCCATCACATTACCAGACCGGAGATCAGTTAGTTGCAATGTGGAGAGTAATAAGGATTATAAGGATAAAGTTCTAATGCTAATATGAATAAAATTTCAGAATTGAGTAATATATAGACGAATTTAGTCTGTTAATTTGTAGTGAAGATTGTGTGAGAGGACCGTCGTTTAAGCAAGGGGGAAAGAACAGAGATGAGAGGCGAGATAGATTAAGTAAGTGATCTGAGGAGAAGGCAATGATAACAACTAGCAGGTCTCAGGATATGCATCATGAACAGCTTGTCCAAGAGGGAGATGATAATCCTTATGTGAGTACGTTATTACCAAGTCTCTGTGTTCACCTCGGCTGCAAGAGCATTCCAAGTTGCGACGACTCGCAATGAGAAAAAGTGTGCATGAATCTGAGTATTTGCTCTTTGATGTGCAATCTTTCGAGGATTGCCTCGAGGGGAGTGGTGGTGATGCATCGGTAAGATGCTCATATTGGGATGGTTTGGCGTGCCTAATATGTTGTACGCTATGATCAGATCACCTCTGATTCTCCTGTAGCTCAGTGGAAATAATCCCAAGAACTTGAGTCTATCGTCGTAGGGTTTATTTTTCAACCCTAGCACCCATTTGGTTGCTCGTCTCTGCACTCGATCCAATAGATTTATGTCTCTTTTAAGCAGAGGGGGTGCGATGACGTTGTGAACCTCCAGGTGTGGGCGCGCGTTCGTCTTAAACAGGGTTAAAAATAATTTCGGGGTGATAGCACCAAGCTGTCTTCGCATAAAGTGAAGAGTCGCATTTGCCTTGGCTGCATCCTCTACATAGTTTGAACTCGTGTGGAGGCTTTCTGTGGTTATTAACCCGAGATCGCGCTCTGAGGGGACATTAGGTAGCGGGCCTCCATTGAGGGTTTAGATCGTTTGCGTCGTGTGAGGCAGAATATGCATGACGTGGCACTTTGATTGGTTGAGTTTTAAACCGTTTTCACTGCCCATTCCTCAATAGATGTAAGGTCCTTGTGAAGCTCAGTCGAATCGTCCTCGCTTCTAATAAACCTCCAGATCTTCGCATCGTCTGCTTAGATCAATGCCGGTGAGCTTACTAAGCCTAACAGGTCGTTAATAAATATGAGGAAGAGAAGTGGGCCTAGGATGGTCCCCTGTGAAACTCCCGATGTGGATACTCTCCAGCTCGCGTACACTCTACTTACCATGGTGCGAGACTTTCTATACTCAAGGTAGTTTCTGAGCCAAGATAGGAGTCGGTCATCGAAGCCCATTTCCACAACCTTTTCGATTAGGCGTGCGTGGGTCACTGTGTCATAGGCTTTTGCGAAGTCGAGAAATACTACGTGCACTGGTATTTTACGGTCCAAGCAGGATGTACAACTGTCCCATGCGATGAGAAGATTGGATGTGCACGACCTGCCGTTCCGAAACCCATGTTGAGCTTCATGGAGTATTTTATTCTTATCAGTGTACTCCCTCATTTGTCCGTCTACCAGCCCTTCCATAACCTCTCATAGTATTGGCAGTAGTGCGACTGATCTGTAACAGGCTGAGTACTTTCTATTTCCTCCTTTGAAGATTGGAGAGGGAGTAGCTTGTTTCCATACAGGTGGGAGTTGGTGTGACTCCAGTGGATGCCTGAATGGGTCACGTACCGATGAACTGAGGGCTTCTGCCAACTGCTTCAAGACTTTGGGGCGAATATTATCTCAACCTGGTGACTTTCCTGAGCGTGAGGATTTTTGTCTCCTTAGTACTAAGTTAGGAGTAATACGGATATTCTCTAAGCCGTCAGCTGACAATGGGTTTGCGTAGTACTCTGAACATGTGAATGCCTGGTTTAACAGCTAAGTAAAGTTAGTGTTGAAAATCTCAGTCATCTCTAGGTTGGTGAGATCTTCCCCATTCGGACCTTTGAGAGAGCACAAATCCTGATCTGTAGGTTTTCTTTTCGTCATGAACCTAAACAGATGCTTGGGGTTTGCTGGTATTTGGACAGCCAGCTTCATCTGAAAGCGTCCTCTATCACTCCGAACTTTGGTAATGCATCTGTATCTGAATGCTAAGTAAAAACTACAATCAGGATCCTTCAAGGAGACCTTCTATTTGTACCAGGCTCTCCTCTTCGCCTGTAGCAAGCGTTCAGTGCCGCGCCTATCCCATGTTCTTCTCTTTCCGAGTGTGTGCTGTGACTGAGTGACATTTTCTAGGACAGCATGGTGATGTCTCTCACTGTTTGCCAGTGATCAACTACTGTCGGCCGCCACCCCACCCGTTGCCATGGGGCACGTAGAAGGTTCTCTCTCATGAGCGTGTAATTCATCCTCGTGTAGCGAAGGAAGGGCTCGTTATCGTCCTGTGTGAGTGTTTCGTTTATGACAATGTTAAATAAGACTGTTCCATGGTCACTACTTCCTACTGTTGAATGGATGTGAATATCCTCTTGCAGGAGCTGGTCATTTTTTAACAAATAATCCAGGCTTTAGGACTTTCTCTCATCTAGTGGCACTGCAAGCATGCTTAGTCAACCCAGAGCTTCTAATGGCAGCACCAAGTCGTCTTTGTAATCAATCAGTGGGAGTTGTGCCCTGATTGCTGAGACTTAGAGATGGGCTGTTGAAATCTCCATTAAGAGTATTTGATCGAACCCAAGGAGTGGCAGTTGCAGTACTGCTTCAGTCAATTTATATTTCTGGGCCTTAGTGAACGGGGGCGGTAATCTCCTCCAATCAAGTATTTCGTCCCATTTGTGTGGAAACAATATCAACATGATTCTGTCAACTCGGTTAACTGAGTGTCGTGTAGCCCCTTGGCTTTTAAATGGCTCTTAATATATATAGCCACTCCATCTCCTGTTTGGCTTTCGCAACACATAATATGGCTTCAGTCAGGTCTTCCCGATTCTTGAATTCCAAAGCCATTGGACGTGGTGACTTAATAGACGTGAGATGTGACAGGCGAAGCAGCCTGGAAATGCGTATGGCCATCGTGGTTTGAAGGTTCAGGCTACGTGATAGCCACCGCCAGGGTTGCACATCATGCACGTGAGCTTCATCCAAGCTACCATTAGCCGATTCGGGCACGCCACGAACTACCTTACCGGTCTGCTCTTGGTTGCCTTGTGATATCCTGGCTGCTACTTGTATCGACTATGGTTTATTGTACCTGATGCGGATCGGGGAGGACATTTCCACCAAGGGTCTCTGAGATGTGAGGAGGATTTCTTGATCAAATTTTACCGAGTCTAATGTTACCCTCATTTGAGGGGGTCTACATTTTAAAACGTTCTGGCCTTTGAAAAGGTGGCGTATTTCGTCCGGAGTACTGCACATTCCGAGGACTGAGTTTAAGTAAATATATTACTCTCGCAGTCCGCTCTGAAGCCGAAAGGTGTAGGTTCACACGCGTATCGCCCAGTCCAAGTCCATAAACGATAATTCTGGGAAAGAACGGTTCTATATTTAATCAAAAGAGGAAATTCAGACAATTACCAAAACAATATTACACCTTCGAGTTTCTAATCACCACAATAGGTTCCGTTACTGGAAGAATAAGTGCTTCCAGTCAGTTGCTGCTAGAGTATCAAATCCAAATATGGCTGTAGCCATATTAAGTATCAATTTTAAACAACACATATATAGTTCAAAAGGAAACATAGAAACTTCAATATAAGTACAAGATATATAAATACTAACAAGATACAAATGATAACACCTCAAAATGGGATCAAACAAATTACCAAAATATCGAACAGAAGAGTCACTCAGATCATAACACAAATATATATACATGGAGGGATTTTCCAAAAACAAAGCCTTCAAAATAGATTCTACACCGGTCCGCAAAATCCCTCCATGGAAAGCAAGCCCTTCTGACACTTCAACTTACGGTTCACTCTCATCCCCTAATCCACACCAGAAGAACTAGTAGGACTTACAGCAGTACGCCTACCTGCCCTCCAACATGGATATGACCTATCAAACTAACTATGTACCTGAACCTTCCCACCAGGTTCTTGATTCCCCTATCTATCGTAGCATGACCTAACGGTAGCATAAACTTTGTCCAATTAACCCACATGAACATGTATAACACGTCGTAGGCCTGATCATATCCTATTCGGGACTTACCTTCCACATTATGGGGATGAAGCGTCAATCCCCCACCACTTACTCCGAACGGCAGATACGATGAATTCAGTGGTGCCACCTTATCAACAGAAGTTTTGGGCCCGTAATTATAAGGCAAGGGTGTGATCTGCAATTTTGACATTTCCTCGTCTTCTGAAGACTCTAAGTGGCATAACATCCGAACAAGATTTAACTCTCCATCTCCTGGCACAGAGGAGGTTTGATCAGCATTCGTCATCGTCGACAACTCATTTGTCCCATCAGTGACATCAAGATTATTATCATAGTATGGTGTTGGAATGAACTAGTGACTTCTCGGTTGTAAAGAATGCCTGATTTTGAATTCTAAATACAGTAAATTCTTTCGTGCTTATCTAGTATAATAATAATAATTTATCCTCAAATAACTACGTTACAAGAGTCACGCCAGTTTACAGGCTAGATCAAATTGTCACAAATGCTCTCACAATTACTGTAAAGTTATAGCAGTTAAATTAAGTATAAGAGTCATTTTCTGATTGCATATTTACACCATGTCACTGACAGAAACAGAATAATACAGCCACATTTTCAATAGTAGAGTACAAATAAGGAAGGAAGGTGCACAATAGGTTCTTTTGGCGGTTTGCCAAGAGCAATAGTGAATTTGTTGGGAAAGGTCATATGGAACGCGCTTGATATGAGCTGTAATCCAGACAGTCATGTACCTAGGGTGCATGTTCCCTAGAGTCGCCAAGGATTTCCCACCGTGAATGGGGTTCTGAAAAGGGAAAGAGAGAGAGAGAGAAAAAGGCAGCAGTGTGGCAAGTGTATATATATAACCAAAGCACT